ACAACCCAGAAGCCAATAGCAGAGCCTAATGCACATTCCAGGATGATTTTCTCCTTGTATGTGGTTAGATTTTTTATTGCAAGGGGAGGGCTCACTACCAACCAAATAGTACATATTAAAATTTGAATAAAGGTGAAACACATAACAGTCATTCTTTGTTGTGGAGGACCAAACCATTTTATCACATTACTACCTGGAAGTGTCGCTTTAAAAGCCATTAAAACCACTATAGTTTTCCCAAGTACACAGGAGATACAGACCACAAAGGTAATCCCAAATGCAGTGTGACGCAGCATGCAGGACCACTCAGATGGTGCTCCAATGAAAGTTAATGAACATAAAAAACACAGAGTGAGAGAGATGAGCAGCAGGAAGCTCAGCTCAGAGTTGTTGGCTCGGACAATTGGAGATGTCCTGTGATAAAAGAATACACCTGCGGTGATAATGGCCAGTAAGGCACCCAGAACTGAGAATGTGGCCAGGATGATTCCAAGGATGTCTTGAAATGAAAGAAACTCTATGGGTTTAGGGATACAGGTGTCTCTCTTTGAGTTAGGCCAGAACTCTTTGTGGCAGGGTAAACAGTCAGCTGAATCTAAATCAAAGAAATTCATTTTTTTTAAAAAGAAAAAGAGAGATTCTTTTTTTATTTTATTCAATTTTACAGATATTGATAATAATCATCATTCAGTTTTACCTGTAATATTATTAATCTCTCCCTCAGGACACAGTATACAATCATAGCAGCAGATGGGTTTTCCTTTCTGCAGTACTTTACGAGTTCCTGGAGGACAACTGTCAGTGCACACTGACACTGGCACCTGTCAAAGACATAAAGGAAGTGTAATAGATGTAAATATTTTCTGCACAGCTATAAGGATTTCATACTCATTGAATTTAATTATATAGATTCTTGACTCATTACTTTTGTGCTATCTTCCATCCAGTTTATGTTTCTGTTAATTCTAAACTCCTTGCCCACTGGTAGTGACGCATCATACAGTCCTACAGTTACTATCTCAGTGTTGCCACTCTCGTGGTTTTGCCAGTTTACCAGCTCATAGATAGCCACAGGATCCCCATTAGCATTAAAAGACACATCATAACCATTTTGGGAAAAATTTACTTTCTTCAGTTCAGTTAAAACCTGAAAGGATGAGTTAAGACAGAAAGAAAAGAAATAAAAAAAGTTTGATATTTTAAAAATTAATAGTAATATTACACATCATCCATGTGAGATCAGAAATAATAAAAGACAATGACATTAACATATACGTTTAATCTTACCTGTTTGGGCTCTAAGTTGGTTAGTTTGTCACACTGAGTTGTGACATTTTTTCCATGACACACTGCATTATGAATGGCATGTGCTATTGCATACACAGCCTTGTACACCATGTTAGTAATTCTGAGCTGAGACGTGTCAGTGTATTGGCTTTGGAGATTCTGTATGTCTTCATTTCCATCACAAACTTTCTCGTCTACAGTAGCAGCACCTACAGAAAAATGAACAAACATAAACATATCTTTTCACCACTGAACTTTGATCTAGATTTCATACTTTTTATTTTGATAAATCTGACAAATTAGATGTTTTTCTGTAAGCAAGAAAACTTTCTTACTTTTTTTCAGTCTACAGTTGAATGCATCCTCCCAAAACTCAGTGAGCACTGACGAAGCAGCCACTTCAGAGAAAGAGAGATTCAGCAGGAATTCTCTGAGACCTGGGATTGCAGACTTCGGAATACCAAATCCAATGGCCCCAGCACAGAAACTGAACCTCGTTAATTCTGTGTTGGTTACCCATGATTCACTGCCTATCCACTGGCGAGTTGGGAAAGGCTCACGTGAAAGCTCCTCCAACAGGATCTTCATGTCTCCAAAAGATGCAAATGCCACAACAACTAAAGCTTTAGACCTTGAGATACAACATAAAGCATTAAAAACATTTTTTGAATGTCTCATGATATGACATGAAATATTACTTAAAAAAGGAACCTAATTTCAACACATACAATAATCCACATGTTATATCTGTGATATAGAAACCTGCGGATAACATCTGCTACTTTCTGAATTCTGCTCTGTGGGTCTGTCCGATAGAAAGATACAGAGTATTCCACACAGATCCCCTCTTTCTGTGCTGCTTGGAGAAAAGAAGCCATGCCATTATTTCCATAATCCGAATCTGACCGAACAGCACCTATCCAAGTCCAGCCAAAGTGTTTTACCAGCTTGGCTAGTGATTCAGCTTGAAACTGGTCACTGGGAATTGTTCTGAAGAAATTTGGGTACTGCTGCTTGTCAGACAAGCAAGCACATGTGGCAAAGTGGCTAACCTAAAACAAAACAAAAAAACAGTGCTACTCTTTAAATAACTGTGCATTCAAATTTTATGGAGATGTCAATTTTGTGCCAAAATTAAAAAAAATACATACTTGAGGAATGTTAAAGGGACTTATGAGACGTGAAAAACTGATGGATGGTGTAGACCCAGAGTCCCCGACAACAGCCATCACCATACCAGACTGAGAACAATTGTTACCAGTGGAAAACACAGGGTCGAAGCTATTTAGAAACTGAAATGCCACATGCACTGCAACAGGCACTAATGCACATGAATCATAGATCTGGTATCCAAGCTTGATTCCAGGTAGCAGGTCTGTGTTGTTATTAATCTCTTCTATGGCAAAGATCATTGCACGTGAGAAGTGCAGCCCACGGGTGTCAATGCTGTAGACAGTCAAGCAAGTGTTAGAATTAAGGCTACAAGGCTACATATGAAGGACATTTTGGAGGATTGAACCACTGTCAGATAACTACTGGAATTTATCTTTTGTTTTCTGGGTTGACACTTATGAAACTGTTGCTTAACACACTTTAATTTGTGAAGCTTTTAAAACTGGAATAAAACTTAAAATTAAATGAAAAATTGCAAATTATCCAGCATTATTGCTTTACATTTGTTTTTGGTGCGACACAGAGATAATTCAGCACCTTTAAACACAATACATGTCAACTTTAATCCCCCATTATACAATCCAATATGTTGTTATCACACATATCTCACTGTTACTGACCTCCCTTTGCATTTCACAGGCTTTGGTATGCTAGAGTAGTTGTTATAAAATGTATCCATGTAGGCATGAAGGGAGAACGATCCCCCAATAATAAAATCTCCATCCATTGAGAATGCTGGCAGACGAGTGCTACCCTGGAGCTTACAGTTCACAGATGAAACCAGTGTACCAGCATGAGCTGCTGTAAACCTATTCCTATAATTCAGACAATCTAGGCACACAGCCAACACGATAACTGAGTTCAGCTGAAAAAAATACACCGCTAATATCAGACCAATTGTAAGACCCGCTGTCTCCATCCCTGCCTGATGTCAGTGGTTTGTATATGAGTGTAAGAGAGTTTTCCCTGGTTTATATAGGTATTTTGACAAAGGCTGTTTTTTTTCTTTTTTGTTTTCTTCAAGAGGGCGTGCCCCTATCCAGTGGTGGTTGATCAAGTCTTGAGTGTAACCTCCACAGTGTTTCCATGTCTGTGTTCTCTTCTTGTAAAATATTTTCAGCTGGACTTTATATTACAAATTAGAACTAACATTATAATAGTGGGGAATTAATTTTTAAGTAGGGAGAAAAATTACAATTTATTTCTATGAAATTATCAAGATGTTACTGAACAGGAAGTGGAGTATCAACTATGGATTTTTAAATTTAAAGAAACTGAAATTTAATTAGTGAAATAATAAATAGTGATCATGAATGGCAAGTAAAATAACAATGCCTATGAGGCAAAAATTTTATATTTTATATATTATAGTTATATAGTATTTTTATTTGAGTAATTTTAGTAACAATATGATAATCTATATGCTATAATGTGATAACGTAGCCTTTGGAAGTTTTTTTTCAAATTAGTGACAGTAATCTAGAAGTAACCTCATTTTATTACTGGAGTTTGTATCACAACAATAGGGAGTAAATGCTACCCAAACAGTGCAGGAGCCTCCTTACATCCCAGACTCTGTATTGCATTGTGTTGGACTGGGGTCCATTGTGTATGGATGTGACTTCTACTTGTCCCCTACTTTGTGCTGTGGTTGTGTTGTTCTGAATTGAATCATGTAGCGCATGATCAAGCTGATTATTTTGAGGTGTGAATGGCTTGCCTAAAACAAACAGTGTGAGACTGGCTAGCTGGCAAATGATGTTATTATTATTATTATTATTATTATTATTATTAAGAAGAAGAAGAAACAGAATAACCAAAGCAATAATTGTACTAGAATTGTTGCTTTCCAACAATCCCACCAATGATAAAGCTTGTTACCAAATTTCGTAGTTCATGTGTAATCACATTTGTTATTACATGTTTGATAATAAGAATCGGGAGTATTAAATGGAAAATTGCCTGTTTCAGTTTTCCATGTTAATAACCTAATAAACCAAACTTAGTTCAATTCAATTTTATTCATATAGCACCAGCAGTTACCTTAAGGCACTTTATATAGTAAGGTAAAGACAATAAAAAAAGAAAACCTCAACAATAAAATAACACCCTATGAGCAAGCAATTTAAAAGAGCAGGGAGTGAAAACTCCTTTTTACTAGAAAGAAAACTGACAGAGCTATGTTCAGGGAGGGGAAAACATCTGTGATGGGAGGAAGGCAGGACAAAAAACAAACTGTCAGCCAGGGACCAATACTAAGTAATGATTAAATGCAATGTGTAAGTACATAGTAAATGAAAAAGTAATTAATGAAGAGACACTTTGGTGTTGGTGGGCCTACAGGAGATCAGGTCATGCCGTTTCTTTGGGCTGTGCCCCGCCAGAAACATCTCAGTGAATTGGCACCTTATTGTGGTGGACTGGTTTATAGTTTCCACTGATCCCAATGGCTATGTTGTCAGGGAGCTTTATCTCCCCCCGGTAGGGTCTTCCAAGGCAAATTGGTCAGAGGTGAGAGGAAGCAGTTCAGTTGCACAGTGTTACTGGACCCTTACCCTGGAGCCACGGCTGTGGAGGGAGTTCAAGAGAAAAAATCTGTTTGCTGTACATAATTATAAACCTGTGAGATTGTTAAAAAAAAAATATTTTTCTCTAATTCTTAAAATTCTATTTGCAAAATAATTCATACTTTTTTTTCAAGAAAACGTTAAAAGATTATTTGTTTCAACAGAACTTTTGGTATTTGTCAGCCTGGATACAGAGCTTACGATTAGAGAAGTCAGAAAGAAACTCTGAATGAGAGCCAGGTGGGTGATAGATATGTCATACTCAGTATTAGTTCATTTTGACTTTTTTTTCCTCCAGGTCTGAGACACTGAGCAAGCAGTCTCCAGCCCATTCAATTCATTTCAGTTCAGTTCAGTTCAGTTCAGTTCAATTCATTACATTACATTACATTTTTTACCAGTTGCTTCAAGGCACTTTATATTGTAAGGTAAAGACCCTACGATAATACAAAAAACCCCTGAAAAGACCCAAACAAGCAGATGACCCCCTCTCTAAGCAAGAACACTCTGGCAACAGTGTGAAGGAGAGGCTCCTTTTTAACAGGA